GACTTCTTGACCTTGGGGAAGACCTAGAGTTGCGCAGTGCCAGATGCAGTGAATAAGGTAGGTGAGGAGACACTGTAATGCTTTTGCCAGCCTGCCTGTCCGCTGGATGGCACTCAGCAGCAGCACTCACCCTATTCTTTTATCACACCTTGTGTGTTTATGCACACACACGTGCACACACACACATACACACATACGTGTGCTTAGAGTACAGCAACTTTATAGAACAGAAGTAGATTTAATTACAAGAATTCCCACATAAACATAGACTAGAAAACAAAGATTCATCTAATAAAAACTATTGATTTTTTTATTTATTCCTTCACTGTTTATTCACCAGCACTGAGTCTTTCTTTGAGGGTGTACAGGTGAATCCATCAAGGTTCAAATCCTTAATAAGCTCACTCAAGAAGAGATGTCAAGAAGTAATCAAGAAGAGATGTCAAGAAGTAATCGTAATTCAGTTTTAAAAAACAACCCTTTAACAGAATTATATGCAAGGCACAGGAAGCCCGTAGATAATGTGATTTCTCTGTGAATCTAACATCATTGGAGAATCATTGGAAATTTGAAGCATCTGAATTGCATCTGGCACCTTGGAAAAAAATATGAGGTGGGAATATTTGTCTGGGTCTGTTTCTGAGGTCTCTATCCTGCTTCACTGATCTGTAGATCTAACTCTCCCTGACCATCGTAGTGTCTTGGTTACCATAGCTGGAGAGGGAGCCTTCCTTTCAGTAGCCCAATTCTCCCCCTATATTTTTTGTTGTCAAGATTGCTTGTGCTATTTGAGGTCCTGTCTGATTCCACATAAATTTAAAAAGGACCATTTCATGCTTTGGTTTTGTTAGGCATCACATTAAACTCATGCATCATTTTGGAGAGAATAGAGAAATTTAGTATGTTGAGTTTTCCAATCCATGAAAACATGTCTGCCAATTTGTTTAGGTCTTCTGTTATTTCTTTCATCATTTTGTAATTTTCAGTATATCGATCCTCTATAAGTTTCCTTGAATACATATCTAAGTATTTGATGATAGCTGGCATGGTGTTTTCAATTTTGGTATCCACATTTTCATTGTATTGTTATTGATTTTTTTTTTCCCTGTACCAGGAATCGAACTCACAACCTTGCACTTGCCAGGCAGGTGCTGTGCCACTGAGCTAAATCCCCAGCCCCTTGTTATTGATTTTTATATGTTGTCTTCTATCCTGAAGTTTTACAGAACACATTCATTACTTCTAAGAATATTTCTGTAGATTCCTTAGGATTTCCACAAATGGATAGTTCATCTGCAGATACTGGCAGTGTTATTTCTTCCATTCAGGTCTTTGTATTATCTTTTGTCTTGACTATTATTTGCAAGAATTCTAATACTATGCTGACTCAGAGTAGTAAGAAAGAAATATCTTTACATTGTTCTTTATCTTAGGGGAAAGTCTTTTGTTTTTCATTATTAAATATAATTTTAGCTATGTTTTCATAGATGCACTTATAAACTGAAAAATTTTCCTTCTATTTCTAAACTGCCGAAAGATTTTATCATGAATATGTGTTGGATTTTGTTCAATCTTTTTTAGCATGAACGGACATGCATTAATTTGGAAAGAATAGACAACTTTTTGTTTAATCATTTTTAAAGCATTTGGCTTAATTACTTTTTTAATTTTCAAAGATAGAAAGAATGATTCTCGTTGAATTTCCTGGGACTAATTGCATACATAGGATGTTTTCAATGGTATGTGAATAACACAAAACAAATTAAGAGAAAATAATAAAACTGTCCTTTCCCTAAGTTCCTGACGCAGATGCCCCTGGACTTGCAGTGGGTTTCCATCCCAGCATAGCAAGCTGGTGTACTGCAGTGTGGATTATCAGTTGTGCACTCTTGTGATGGCGTGGTTTCCTCGGAGCTGAGCCAGTATCAGGAGAGAGAATTGCATAGCACATATCAGTGGCCCCAGGAAAATGTCCAAGTATGGATACCGCTGAAAGTAGATAGCTTTTACACCATCATGAAGTCTGCAGGTCAGGAGCTGCACCATTGTAAGTCAGGCACCTGTACTTTCTGTTCTTTTTCTATGGAATATCACTACTGATTAGCTGCTGAAATTAACTTTTTTTAGCAACTTACCTTTCTTTTAGTATGTGAATGGTGTACTTCCCAAACACTACAAGCATACGTACACATTCTAAGTTAAGTTAGGGTGCGTTTCAACTTAGGGTATCTAAAGTGAGTCAAATTGAGTGAAGTTACTAAACACAAACAAACAAAAGAAATAACATGCAGTATTACAAACACCATGAAAATGTTTTTTTCTTATATTACATAAATATTTTTCCGAAAATATTGCACATATTTGAGGCTAGGGAGAATAACAAATTCTACCTTTGGAGAAAAAGACAAAACAGGTTCATTATGAAAACTAGCTGAATTTTTAAAATGAGTTCACTGCTTTGGAGCAACTGTGTACTGCAGCTTCGAAAGTCACAGTCAGGTTTTTGAAAAACAAGGATTATGAAGCTCTATACCTGCATCCCTGAAAGGTTAAAATGAAGCGCCATGGTGTGTTCCATTACCCTGAGGCCCCAGCTTTCAGTGTTTGCATTGTGCTTCCCGGGCCTTTCTCCTGCCTCCCCAGCTGTAGCCTGAAGCCGTAGGCATCCCTGTCTATCTGTAGGTCCAGCTAGCTATCAGTCACCTAAGTAGTGGTGATCCGGAGGCATATGGAGATGTTATCCCAAAAAGCTCAGTAAAATGTCAGCTACATGCAGTGTCAACCCCCCAAAATGTCAGTTCTCAAAATAACTTCACTCCACTAAAGCTTTCAAGATGTTTTCGTTTAGATAGTACTCCTGCCTTTATCAGATTAAGGCCGGCTTGTGCTTCACTCTGAAGTTTAATCATTGGAAGGAAATAATTTAGGATTCAGTTACTGATTCTTAATTAAGTAGATCTGGGCCTGGATCTCACTGCTCGCTATGGGTTTATATTTCCAGTAGTTCTCTAGCCAAAACACTTTCTTCCTCTAAAGAAAAAGCTCTTCTGAGTGAAATGTTTCCAAGTTCGAAATGAAGGTCACAGTGACATTTGTTCTCAGGTCTAAGGTGTGTCACTAGAGAGAGCCTCTGACACAACCTGACTGATGGAGCAGGTGCTGATGGATGAGTCTTGTCTGGATGGTAGAAAATTAAAGGGGGAGAGGATGGATTTATGGTGCTCACCATAGCAAGGTTAAAATGTGTTACAGCATCAAAAAGGGAAATTCGAAATATCAATACAAATATATGCACATTTTATAGAGGGACTCATTTTCGTAGTCACAGGCTTCTCCTGTTTTTCTTCCCACTATAGCCTGCTATTTTAAAATACCAAAATAGCAATGGAGCAATAGCACCTTTTCGGCAGCATACTTTTCTTTCCTTGATATTGATCTTTACGTTTCTGCAGTGTATACTTCCATCGCCATTTTGTCATCGGAGACTCAAAAGCACAGATCGGTTATATTATGTTTAAACACTAAATTGGAGGATTTATACAGATTACATTTCCTGCACCCTACAAATATCTATTTGCTCAAATGACATTTTTTCTTCAGTTCTTGAACCATTTCGGCAGGTTTACCCAAAGATGACGTTAGTTGTGCATCTTTTATATTCCGTACATGTATGAATATGAATTAAGCCATGTGGTCTGTTCTAGTTTGCTAACTTAGACCAGACATCTGTGGGTGTGTTTTCATTTGCTGTTGCCAAAATGATGCTGTACAAAGCTACTCCAAAGGTCTGTGGCAACTCTGCACGTTCGCCCTTCGTTGGTTTTAAGGTTAGAGTTGAAGGTTGACATTGTTGACGCTGTGTATTTCCTGCCAAGCTCCAAATGCAACATTTTAGCGCCCCCTAGCGTCGAGAGCTGTCCTTTGACTGTTGCTAGATAAATACTTGGCCAGAGACGGTGAAGGTAGGCTCAGGACCTTGGGATTTAAGGTTGGAATCACTAAGGATCTAGCTTTGTGTGGAGTGCAAACTTGGGCATTACTTTGAGCACCAATTTAATCCCTATTCCCATTACATCTGTTCTGAACTTAATTTTTTCCTGTTTCTTTAAACTATCAATAAATTTTTCTCCTCTTTACACACTTCTCCTTACCTCATTTCTGAGACACCTGCTTTGACTGTGGGGTGGACAAAATGAAATCCAGTAACTAGAGGGTTTTGTCCCGTATTTTTGCATAGAAGACCGTTTAATCATTTCTAACATGTTCTTATCTCACATTTGTATTCTCACTCTGTAGTACAAATTTTTGTCTTTCAAAGTAGACAATTTTGTCATGTAAAGGTCTTCTTCCGTTTTCTCCCTCCCCTCATTTTGGAAAAGAAAAAAATCAAATATAGAGCCTGATGTAATATAAGTCAGACAAATTATGGAATGCTCCGAGCCACTTTCTATAAACGATTGGAAAAAAACTTTCTGGGAGCCAGTTTTTTGGGAAGATTTGGATAAATCATAAATTCAGTTTTCAGGCTGGCAGTATTCAAGAAAGTGGGACATAGAAGTCAAACATATGCACGTTTTCCACCAGTTTTATTATGCAAAATACTAGATTTTGTATCAAATTGGATTTTTCAAGGTTGGAAAGACTTCAATAAATCACATGAACAGTTCCAGAAATGCACACAGAACCAAACGTGGTTCCTCATATGTGAATGATAAAGAGGCGATGCAGAATTGGGATGGGAATGGAGAAGGCAGGCAGGCAGGCAGGAAGGAAGGAAGAGAGGGAGGGAAGGAGAAAAGGAGGGGGAAGAAGGGAGGAAGGAAGGGCCAAGACAAGTAGAAATCACCCCTGCTCCAGCCTGAAGATGCTCTGTGGATGATAGGATAACGTTCATACAAGTGCGACAGAAAACAGAAACTATGCTCTTTTCAAAACACTCCAAATCGGTTTTAAGATTTATTCTGCTGTGTCTGCATAGTGCTCTGTCTTTGTTTTAACAGGACCACAGCATGGATGTGGGGGTTACCTGACAGCTTCCAATACTACTTTTGTCTCTCCTGATTCGGATTCAAATGGACGGTATGACAAGGGCTTGAACTGCGTATGGTTCATAACTGCACCTGTGAACAAAGTCATAAAACTCACCTTCAACACATTTGTCCTGGAGGCAGCACCTGCTTCATCGAGATGCTTTTATGACTATGTGAAGGTAAGACTATTAAATATAACAGAATCTGCCAGGCCCAAATTAGCAAAGTGTATTCCAGGTACACCATAATAGAAAGTCTTGAAAATGGTGAGTACTATTGCTTTTTACAAAAACATATTCTACAATGATACGGTGTACAATATTGCACATGGCATATCCTCATAGCAAGCTAATCTTTCATAGAGGTAACTCAAAACTTTTGTGTGGCTTCTAGATTAGTTTTAAGATCCAGTTTGTACTTCACCAGTGCCTTCCCAAAAGGTGAACCATGAGAAGCCTGGTTGAATGGAGATATTCAAAGGACCTTTGGCAAATCCTCAAATAAATGACAATGTCTGTCATGTGAATAATCATCTCTTCATATGTCTGTTTATTAAGCTTATAGACTGACATCTTATGCTACCTTTAGATATGGAAAATATCTTAGCTCGTAAGTCCCATTAGATGAACATTTCTGTTCAATTTTTAAATAATTCTCTAATATTAAATGATTGTATCTTTCAGACTATATGAATTCAGAGTATAAGTTTTAAGTAGCATCAACCAAAACTTACTGGTACACTCTCAGGGGGGAAATAACAAGATTGGAAAGTTTTTTTTTTTTCCATGAGGAACTTAAATCTGATTAGAAAATTAAGGAAAGGCACATGCAAATCCAGCATGAATTGTTCAAGTTAATCAATATTTAAGTGCTAACTAATGTATTAAATGCAAGCTTGAAGCACTATGCAAGTTTAAAGGGAAGGAAGTTAATGATAACCTGGTATGATCAAGAAAGTCTTCACAGGGTGAGGGAAAACTTCTTCAAATGAAGAGAGAACTCGAGGCAAGGTGAATATAAAAATGGGCGTAGAAGTTGGACTGCATATTCTGTAAAGAATAAAGAGGCTGGCCTTCTTGAAGCAAAATATTCATAGATCAAGAAGAAGTACCGTTGCCTAAACTAGAGAAAATATAGTTTACAAAGTATAGTGAAAGTCAAGTGAATGAATTTAGATTTTATGCAGCTGAAAGTAGGGAGTAGGTGAAGGTTACTTAAGCAGTGAGTGATGTGGAATCCACAGTCAGGTGAGAGAGAAGCTCCCAGGAGAGCTCCCACCTAGATGAGAAGTACCCAGAATCCGGTGGGGCAAAGCACCAGAGCCAGGTGGTCTTCAATTTTAAAGACACTGGTTCAAAAGAGAAGGACAAGTCATAGGTGGAATAGATATGTAAGTGCTTAATGATAGACTTATATTTTCCCTGTGATAGCAGGGCGTTTAGGACACCAGAAAAGCATGAGTGCTCCTAGGAGTCGTGGTTTCAGTGACAGCCAAACAAATATGCGGCATTGCTCTGGGAGAATGGGGTAGAGCTGGGACAGAGAATGGGACAGATCTCTCGCAGGACACAAACATCGCCGTGACTAAACAGAGACAACAACTGCACTTAAGTGAGAAGAAAGAATGCGTTCTTAGACAGCATGGAGAGAGCCAGGCACTCTCACTAGCTTCCAGGAGAGAGGCAATTGGAGAGGACATAAGAAATAAAAGAAACATGAGTAGTGAAAACTATATCACTGAGGTTGAGGGAAAGACTTTTTTCCAAAGGATGTGTGGTTGATTCTGTTAAATTGCAGATTACAGGCCAAGAAAGGTTAAAGTTGGAGGACCACTATTTTAATGAAATACTGGGACAGAAGCCAAGCCAGAGTGAGGTGATGAAAGGCTTGAGATAACAGGGAATGTCAACTCAGGCCAAATCCTGCTTTCCTAAAATGAGACCAAAATGGCCAGAATAGCCCCAAGCTGAGCTTTAAGACCCAAGCGCTCCCTTAGTTTTAGAGAGAGGACTTGGACCCCGTTTTGTTACCAAATTCATTAACCTCCCTGATTCTTCACTCCATCTACTAAAAAGGAATCACACAAGAGAACTTTCTTTGCAAGACTCTTTTGAGGATTTTTAAAAATGCATACTAGAGTGTTTAGCATTGTGTGTGACATAACTTGTTAACAAATTTATTTCCCTTTTTTTCCCTCCTTCGAGTAAATCCAAATAGGCACAGAGGCTATGGAATGTCTCTTTCTTAAAATATGGAAAATAATTCACTTACATAAATAATTCACTTATGTGAGCATAATTCACTTACAAAATTATTACAAGTTTAGTTTCATGCAGGATATCTCAGGCATGATCTTACAAGGAGAGCTGATTGAATTTCCTCTCCAGATCTATTTCGAGGATTGTGATTTGATAATGTTGTATAACAGCTTGTAATCATATGAATTTGCTCAAATCACTTAGGACAAAAATTACAGTATCAAAAACAAGTAGTTCATTTCTAGCTTCAAAATAAAACACTGTTTCTCTCCCTAAAAAGATTCTGTTTAGATCGACTCTTGTTTTCCCTCCTGGGAAAGCAGTTTCCCTCAGCTGGTAACTCTTCCAACTTCTGCTAACTAACAGACCAAACACCAGCTCTTGGAATGTGGAGCTTGGAGGTAACCTTCTTACTGAGGCTGTGTGATAAATGGAACACTGGCTCCCTTTTAAATTGCTGCTTAGACATTATAATAAAGTTGCTTTTTAGAAAAGCTAGATTAATTCCACTCTATAGGTAGATATGCAAGGCGTATCACACCAAGTCTATTACTCATTCATGTTGCCGTCACTGTTATTTTGGAAGGGGTTAGCTTGGAGAGCAGGCAACACACAATGAACTATGCATCTCATCGAGTGGTTGCTATTGAAGTTGACATCACATCCATTTCACAGAGTTATTTGGCAGTCATTGTGCCTGGCACTGGAGATGTGGAGAGTTAAGGACACATCTCAAGGAGTCAAAGCTTCTCAAGGAGCTGTCAGCCCAGGGAGGAGACCGATGCATAAGCAGAAATGTTATCACACAACATGACAGAAACGGCAGGTATAAACAATTTGAGAAGCAGAGCAGCAGTGGATCTCAGTGGCTTCATTTTGAGGCTCAGAAAGGGTTTCCGAGACGGGATGTTCAAAAGAAATGGAAGCTTCCTCCCCTTTTCTACCCTCCACAAAAGGAGAGGAACATCACAGAAGCATGGCTCTTGAGAGAGTCTGGCCACCAAAAATAAGAGAAAAAGGAATGGCTCTGCACTGCATAATGTCACACCCAGCTTCTGACACCACATTCCCTGCCGGTTCAGCCACTCCTGTGAAGGGTGATGAGGTGGCGAAGAGGGACCGGAAATGCGACTCGGACTTCCTTTGCTGGAAGACATGGTGGCAGCGGTGAGGAGACGGCCCCCTCCCCATATATCCCAGGATTCCCTCAACCAAATCAGTGCCCCGTTTATAGCCAGTATTTTACAAAGCTTCCTCTCCCATCCAATGTGAAAATTTTCTATATGAATTGCCTTGTGGGATTCAGCAATGTGGTTTCTAAACAGTAAATGCCAGATTTACCCCCCAAGTATTGTTTTAATGCCAGTATAAACCCAAAGAATCCCACACTTGTGTAAAACATTCCCTAGGGACTGGTACTGATTACACTGAAAACCTCTGTCTCAACCCACTGGGTTGGACCATTTGAACTGTGGTTAACCACTGGGAGGAGGGACTGGCCGTCTCTGGGTAGAAGATCAGCAGTCCATGCAGGCATGGGACTCCTGTGGGGTAGTGCTGCTATTCCTGCCTTCCTTCCTTCCTTCCTTTAATTATTTATTAAACATATGTTGATATGAGTCTACTTCATTCTGTATAGTTCTCCAAGCACAGGACAAGAGGATTAAGATTTTTCAAAAATCCTACTGTAGTTGGGATCTTGAATGTCCCCCAAAGGTTCATGTGTCAATAGCTCAGTGGCCAGCCTGGGACATGAGGAGTCTGTGGAACCTTTAGGAGGTGGGGCCTAGCGGAAGGAAGTTAGGTCATTGGGGGCGTGGCTTAAGGGAGATACTGGGACTCCAGCCCCTTCTCTCTCTCTTTACTTTCCTGCCACCAGGCAGGGAGCAGGCTCCTCCCCGACATGTGCCCTCCCAGGTTTTTCCTCACTAAAGGCCAACAGCAACAAGGCCAAGGGACTTCGGACCAAAACCTACAAAAGCAAGAGCCAAAATAAACCTTTCCTTTAAGATTGATCACCTCAGTTATTTTGTCCCAGTGATGGAAAACTGACTAACACAAATGCTGTGAAAATACCTGTACTGATGGAGCAGGTTGTGACCCTTGCCGCTTTGATTCTCTTCCTGAGACCAGTGGGACTAGCAGAAGTTTTAGTCCAGAAAATGCTGAAATGGATCAAGGGTTCAGCCCCATATCTGTATGCTGTTTCCCTTACCAAAGATGCCCCAACAAGTTGTCCAGAAGACCCTGTCAGAGATTTTATAGTAAGATCAAAAAGGTCACAAGGATGCCAGGCACAGTGGCACATGCTTATAATTCCAGCTATGTGGGAGGCTGAGGCAGGAAAAATGGCAAGTCTGAGGACAACCCGGGCAACTTAGTGAAACCCTGTATCACAAGGAAAAATGCTGGAGAGATAGCTTATTGGTAGTGCTCCTGTGCCGGGAAGAAAAAAAATTCATGAAAGAGACCAAGAGATGGGAGGTAGGGAAAGAGACATAAAAAGAACTGTGTTATGTACATGTGGCAACTCCCTACAGTGAACGTTGTCATGATGTATCACAAGCATGGGCTAATACAAATTAAAATTCTTTCAAAGGATGCTAATTTGAAATACTCAAATAAGAACACAAAACATTCTCCTATTAGTAAATTTCCTGGGAAATATTACACAACAATATCCTGTGGGAATTAATGTCTGCAGTTACTGTTAGTTCTGAAAATAATTAAATTCTGATTTCAAAGTCTGTCACTCTTGTGCTTTATAAGTGTCTAGGAATTAAAATCCAAAACATTTCCTTCCCATTTCTTCAACTGCTCCAGTTAATGGGTGGGTAATGAATAGGAGCTTGTAGTAGTTCTAGTCACCAGAGGCTGATTTCCACTAAAACATTTGCTTGACCCCTTTAGGATTTTAACTGGAGTCTAATACTACCAAAGAGATTGAAAAGTTGAGGTAACACAAAGTTCTTTTCGGCACTTGCCCACATCTACAAGATTTAGAACACGGTTCAAGCCCCAGGCCTTAAGCAGGTATCCCAGGAAATATGGACTGCCAGAAGACAGTGTGCAGCTCCACATGACCATGAGGGTCCTGAGGAGACCATGCATGTCCTAGTCCTTAACCAGTCCCCTCCCGGCACCCGTAGGCACTGCCTGTAACACTGAGTAGAGCAACTCAGCCGAAAGCCCATGGTAGAGATTTGGGGCTGGCTGAGAACAGGAGAGCAGATGCAGAAATCTTGGCTTTTACCCCACAGGAGTCTAGGAGCCCATGTCAGCTGTCCAGCGGCCACTGGCTATTTCAGCTCAATGAGGAGAAATATTATTGTGGCGTGAGTAAAGGATGCAAAGGATCATAGGGCCAGACACTTGTGCAGTTCCCTCCTCCCCAGCCCTGGCTTGTCCCTCATACTTCCCTCCATATTTCTCAGTTGACTATTTAAAACCCAAGTCAGGTCTTAGAATTCTGGTAGGGCGAGATCGCAGCTACTTGGCAGGAAATGGATCGAACTCCACAGCCTTGTCCGATGCGCCTCCCTACCTGTCCTGTTCTCTCATCTCTGGTCCCGTCCAGGGCATGTGCCGTGCATCTCATGCACATGGCCTCCCACCTCACGTTCCCTCTGCTGTTCCTCTTCTCTTTGGTAAGTCTGAAAGGTGTCTGCGTATTTTTAAGGTCCAGTTCAAATGTCTATGCGAAATCTTTCCTGATTTCCATCATCTCCACCACATTCCCATTCTTCTATGGTAGCATCCCTTTCCCCCCATTTTTTACATGATTCACACACACTCTGTGTGTGTATGGTGTGCTTAATTTATCAGCCTTTCCTCTCCCGGGTCCATGGGCACCTTGGAGGGATAGAAAGTTTTTCCCCTCCCAGCACCTAGCAGTGAGGTCGGACACACAATACACCTTAATGGTACATGGCATAAAAATGCTCGCTAATGTGATTGTGATCATGAAAATAGCAATGATCCTAATGAAACTTTAACTTGTTTACCGCAAAACGGTGCATTACCTCCAGCCTGGCAAATAGCCTCTTCTTTAAAATTATGGGTTCCATTCCAGAATTCTTGAGTCTCTTCTGACTCTAAATTATCTGAAATTATGTTTAAGTGGGAGAAACATTGCCATCTAGTGGTACATGTATTTCACTTTTTATTTTAGAATGACTTACTGTTCTAGTCAACACAATCCTAGCATTTTAAAATAATGTCAGCGGTCATGGTTGCTATGAAGTGTCTGGCACACCATCTCTCTGTTACGACTTCATTTCCAACTACATAGACAGTTGTGTTAGAAATACAGTCAAGATTACTCGGATGGAGAACACTTGACCTTCCAGTAGAGCATGTGAAAGAGATCCAGGCCCCCACTGTTTCTGCTGGTGGTGGTTCTGGGTGCTGGAGACATCCCAGTGAATAATCCAGTCTCCCCATCTATGGGACTTATTTTCTTCTGGAGAGAGAGACCAGAAAAAGCACAAGAGACCCAGGCCAGAAGCAGATATCTCAGGAGACATAGGCTCCCAGAAGACAATTTGATTGTAATAAAATAAGATGGTGGGGGAGGTCAGCACTGCGTAGGGCTGGCCTCTCTGAGGAGACCTGAGATCCTATGGCTGCCCTCAGCCATTCAAGAGCTCACAGTGGTCACTGTTAGTAAGTGCCGAAGCTGCAGGCTGGGGCGCTCCTGGGCTCGAGAGAAAGGAGTGAATCTGAGAGGCGGTGCAAGCCAGATCTGATCTGATGGCATTGCAGAGGACCAGGGATTCTACACTCACTGCAAGGTGAATCCGCTGGAGCATTCCAGGGAGAACAGAAGCGAAATCTCACTTAAGGTCAAGCCCCTTGGCCAGCTTGGTGGAGGAGTCTGGGACCGCTCTGTCGAATTAGGTGTCTTCAGGTAAAGGGTGATGGTGGTAACAGGAGGTGGCGTCCTCTGAGATAACCTCTTCAAGGTGGAGGGGAATGAATGTGGGAATAAAGAGGGAGGTGTGAAAGGATTCAAGGATGAGTGAAATTTTAAGCTTGAGCCATGTATTGAGATAAAGAAGACCTGGGAAGAACAGTTTGGGGAGGTGCAGGGCTATGGTTTGCTTGTGTCCTCCCGGTTCAGGTGTTAGACAATCCTCAGATTCCTATGCTGATGATATCTGGAGGCCTTTGGGAAGTAACGAGGGTTAAATGAGGCCAAGAAGAGGGGAGATGGGGGCTGGCGCCCCTGCTGTCTCTGCATGCGATGCCTGTCCCTTGTAGTGTTGCAGCAGGGAGGCAGCTTGACCTTGGACTCCTTAGCCTCCAGAACTGCGAGAAATCCATTTCTTCATAAATTACCCAATCTGGGATATTCTGATACAGCCACACAATGCAGACAAAGACAGGTGGAGAGGAGAGGAGCCAAAGACTTATTGGGTACTTATTGAGTGTCTATGCCAGACGCTCTTAAAATCTGGGGACATTTCAATAAACAGAACGGACAGAAATCTGTGCTTCTATGGAATTTGCATTCTCTTTAGCAGAGAAGACAGTGAAATAAACAAGCCACCTACCTACTATGTGTAGAATGTCATATTTAGCCTGAAGAAAAATCAGACAGGAAAGGAAAAGGGGAAGCTCAGGAGAGTGGACAGAGGGAAGCCCTTCCTGAGTCAGTGACCTGGAGTAGAGGCGGCAGGGACTGCAGAAGGACAAGCTGTGTGGGCACAGAGGAATTGGGACCCAGGCACAGGGACCGGCAAAGTAATGGGAAACAGGATGGCTCCTGGGTGGCTCAAGAGGGAACAAAGCAGGTAAAGGGTGATGGTGGTAACAGGAGATGGCGTCCTCTGAGATACCTTTTAAAAACAGAAACGGTGAGAAGGGCGACCCGAAAGATCAGGGTGAGGAGGAGCGCAGATTCTGTCAGGTCTTAGCCATTGTCATGGCGCTGGCTTTTGTATTGAGAGAGAGAAATCACTGAGGCAGATTTGTGCAGAGAGGTGACCTGGTCTGGCTTCTTCTCAACATTAGCCTCTGGCTGGCATTTTGAGAACAGACTGAGAGGCACAAGAGTAGAATTGGGGGCGATGATGCAGGCAGGACATCAGAATGGCTTGGACCGGCGTGGTGGTAGGAGCAGTGGTGAGGTGCGTAGCGGGTTTGAGGACACTCATGATACACTCTTCTTTGAATCATATATTACTTTCCTAAAGAGGAAAAAAATGATAGGCACCGTGCTGGTCTTGTACCCAAAACTTTTATAATGTCATTGATCCGATCACAATTCTGTTCCTAAATGACGACGACCTGTCAGAACACTGGTGTAAACATCCTTGGTCATGACGTTTTGGGGCTTCACATCTGCTGCAATGTGAAACAGTGCAGTTCTCTGTGAGGAAGGGAGAACTCATGAGCTCATTTTCTTTTCAGCTATATGACGGGGACAGTGAAGATGCAGACTTGGTAGGAACATTCTGTGGTTCTGCAGTACCTGCTCCTTTCATCTCTTCTGGTAACTTCCTTACGGTTCAATTTGTCAGTGACCTATATTTGGAGATGGCAGGATTTAATGCTACATATACCTTTGTAGACAGTAAGTAAATTGATACTTTTTTATGTTATGACATACCTAAGTATTTCTGTACTGAAAAAGAATGCTATTTTTATTAGATCTAAACTCAGTGTTCATTACTAAATTATATCTTAGTTGATCACCAGACATATTTTATTAACTGTTTTACCCACAGTATAATTAGGTTCAATCCTTAGTCAAAAATATATACTTAAATCCTTACTAGAATGATACAAGTATGTCCCGTTGGGGGAGAGGAGGGGCAGAATGGTAGAGACTGCGTGATGACTTGTGAGTAAAGTATCTCCTACGTTGTTTCTCTCTTGCCTCCTCAGTGCCTTGTGGTGGAACATATAATGCAACTTGGGCTCCCCAAAATATTTCATCACCCTATGTATTAAACGCCAGTTTCCCATTTTTCACCTGTACTTGGGTCATTAGAGCGCCTCACCACAAGCAGGTCAAGATAACCGTGTCGGAATTACAGCTGCACTCGGATGACTGTGCCCAGAACTACTTAGAGTTTCAGGACTCACCACAGGTAACCCTGACAGTGTGGACCACAGTCACAATTAGTGTCCTTTTTACTAATATTTGTAAAATACTTGATGAAGTTAAGGCATGAGTAAATAAATCCTCCAAGTTACTTATGTTTTTCAATTCCATGTAAGTACATTGAAAAACTTGCATTTGGTCCTGTGGGCCAAGAGCTTTCAAACTTTCAGACACCTGCAGATTATCTGGGTGTCTTGTTAAAAATACACACTCCTAGGGCTGCCCCTCTGAGGCTGGTTCCCCTGCATAGCATCAATCTGAATTTTTCATCAGCCTCTCTAATATTCTGGCAATGACATGAGCACTGCACAGGTCGGGCCCATGTCTGTAGCTGGTGAGACCTGTGTATAAGAAGAATTGAAAGAGTCTACAAGGGACATGGGAAATTCAGCTAAGACCCCATTAGGGTTCAGTCTAGCAGGACTGTATTCATGGTAGTAGAATAAGGGGAGAAAAAAGGGGGAGGGAGAAGAAGGAAGATAGAAAGATCTCGTTTGATTAACAGAGAAAAAAAGAAGAAAATCTTAATTTCCCATTGGGTAAGTTCTTGCAAAGACTCAGGATATGAAAATGTGATGTTAACTTAAGGCCTAAAGATTTGAGTGTGGTCTTCATACGGGCAGATAATTGATAATGAAAATGATGAGATCACTTGGGGAACTGTGTAGCACAAGGGCTCAGCACGGGCACCCGGGAGAACACTTGGGAACACCTGGACTGTCTTTGTAGTCTGGGGGTGACTATCCTGCTCATTCCAAGAATGTCATGTTCCAACCCCTGTGTGCTGCCAATAAGAATTCTGTCTGTCAGGTTCTCGGTTCTCAGGCTCCTCCTCACTGTAAAGCTGGGGTTGCCTGCTTCTCACATGCCTCTGTCTTGGGAAGAAAACTCCAGCCTGTCTGACTCCAATGAGCAGGCTTCTCTTGAGACACCAAATTTGCTAAGATTTATATAAATACTAGACGCTGGAATCAGTCTTGAGCTCGCATGGTTGTCAACCTGCTTGGTTACCATCATTCTACGGTTTAGTAGTTTTTAGGACAAAACTATTCCTCACCGGTAGCCTCAGCAGGAACTTACAGCCAAGTAGACAAGACCCTTTGGGTTGAAGCTCTTTCAATTTTCCATTGGTTCATGAAGTTGAGACAGCAGAGTCTGAGGCAGTTCCCTTCAGCTGGACCCAATGAGGCAATTTGGGAATAAGGAGGCAGCTACCCACGGTTTCAGCAGAAATTCTGCCCCCCAGCACCACCCCTCAGCCCTCTGGGGAGGTGTACATCCGTCTATTCCAAGGCTAACAGTGAGTCGTGCTGCAGTGTTCTTGCAACACTGGAGCCAGCGCAGTGGCTGGGTGTGTAAGTCGGACTTCTCTGTGCAGTTCAGTTTGGCTATCGCGGCTCGCTGCTGAGACCAAAGCTAACACAAGTCGGCCTCCGTTTCATTTCAGGTCCGTGGAAACCCTGGAATTCACTTCTGCAGGAGAAACACATCCACGGTGCCGGTGTTTTACTCTTCAATGAGCACTGCTATTGTTGTTTTCAAATCTTATGATTTAAGCTCTAACTCTAGAGTGAGCTTCGTCTATGAGATTGCAGGTAAGTCCTGGGACTTCAATTCATTCAAGAAAATCTTCCATCTTCTAATCATGGGAAGTCACCCCCTTGATGAGCTTAGGGGTTGTGATGATAAATCATGTCCATTAGGTAAGACTCTTAAACTAGAACGTTCAATTTAGCAAATTTCTAGTGCTGGTTCCTGAAGAGGTAAAGTGTGTCTCATACTAACTAACATGTAATGCAGTTAATTTAAATATATACCATTTATTTTATTAATTATCCACTTGACTGCGTGTAAGAGTCACTACGGGTTTAAAAAGTTCACCAAGATAAAATACCTCCATCATGCCTACTGAAAGTTTGCAGTTCAATGATTTTTAGTACATTCAAAGAGCTGGGCATCCCTATATCTTAGGTAATTGTTTTATAAACCCATGGTTCTTTAAAAGGATTATTTGATTTTATAACTGAGAAGTTTACTTTTTAAGAACACTTTATTTCATGTGTATTCTGAAATTGATTAAAGCAGTCTTTGGTCCAAGCAAACAATATAAATACTTTTTTAAACAAAAAATCAGTAAAGAGCAATGACTTTACAGTGTGCTATTAACACACATAATTTACCAAAGGACTTCCAGCGAAACCATTATACAAAACCCTGTCTGAGACACAGTCTTAATGCATAAAACAGAGTCTTCACTGGGTGTGGTGGTGCACACATGTAATCTCAGCACTGTGGGAGGCTATGCCAGGGGGATTTTGCAAGTTTAAGCCCAACGTGGGCAATTTAGTGCATTAGTGACATCCTGTCTCAAAACAAAAAAAAAAAAAATTTAAAAGGACTAGGGATGTAGCTCAGTGTGAAAATACTAGGTTCAATCCCCAGTACCACAAAAGAAAAATCTCAAAAAAGGTCTAAATGTCAACCACCAACACCTTGATAGGATCACAAGAGTTCAAAGGATCCTGGAGTCTTGCTTGGAGGAAGTTCACACATCTCATCCTTGCGCGGGGGTGTTTGTGTCAGCAAGTTTATGTCACCTCTCAGGTCTCAGTGACCTCAGAGGTAAACAAACAGGTTGGATCAGCTTTTTCCTAAAGTTTGTGTGAAAATTATTCTTGTCAGATTGAAAGAGCACTGAATATTTGGATGTATACATTAACTGTGAACACTTTTCTCTCTAAGGTTGCAGCAGACACTATAACCAAGGATTTGGCAGTGTGAGGAGCCCCGGATGGCCAGACGATTACTACGCAAACCTGGACTGCACTGTTCTTCTCTCAGCCCCGCAGAACCGCACCATCTCCCTCTTTTTCCACGCTTTCGGCCTGGAGAGCTCCAGGGACTGCGTGCACGATTTCTTGGAGGTGAGGTGCATTTGGCTGTCATGTAAATGAATTAATGTGAGAGGTGATGGGTCTCTCAGGAGAATTCACTCTTTTATCTCCTGCTGCTAATTCTCTGCATCCCTTATCCATCCCATCCATTTCTTCACCATCCCATTCCGCCCGAAACACTGACTGAGCACCCTCTAGTCCAGGTGCTGGGAATACAACAGAAGACAAAAACATAGTCGTGGCCCTCAGGGTATTTAGAGCCTAAAAGACAGGCAGAGGGCAGGGGGCAATCACAGCATCACGTGGGAAGGACTAACACGCTCCATCCGTCAGGGGCACTGACTCCGTGTGGGGGCAGGGATGGCTTCTTTCCGTAAGGAGATTATACTCGGTTCTGACCCAAAGGACCAGAGGAGGTCCAATGGCAAGGCGCTGGTTTGCAGCATGGCACTGACTTTAAGAGTTTTGTCTGTAGGTAAAACTGAAGAATACCAAAGAGTTCGCTGATTTCCTTGTGGGCTGCAGTCAGCTAGGGCACCTGCACTATTTTCTAAGGGTCTTTGAGCAAATGTGCTGCAAACTAAAATTAGTAATTCCATTTGACCCAATTATTCCCTTCTAGGTATCCTCCCAAAGGAGTTAAAGGCATCATTTTACAATGTCCACGCACACCCATGTTTATAGCAGCACAACTCACAGTAGCTAAATCTTGTGTCCATGAATAAATGGATCAAAAAATGCAGTATTTATACACCCTGGAATACTACTCTGCCAGAAAGAAGGATCCTCTTGAGTCATTGTAGGAAAACGAGTGCACCTTGAGACCGTAATGTTAAATGAAGTGGATCAGATATACAAGTGTAAATATCAGATGGTTTCTTTTGTATGAAAAATGCAAAATATAAATAGAGAGCAAAATAAAAGACAGTTAATAGGAAGTCGGGAGATAGCTGTTTTGCATAAAGCAAGGGGACCAAGAGACGCAGGGGAGGGACGGGGCTGCAGAAAGAACTGAGGTGAGTTATGTCCGTGTGCCAGCTGCCCGCAGTGAGCGTAACATTGTGGGCTACAAACACATACTAGGAAAAAACAGAAATCTTTTGTGCAGTTGTAGGTGAACTGCATTCCTTCGGCCACCCCCACCCCCCAGCCGAGAAGAAGCTGCTTGGGAGCAAGGACTGTCAGCAGTCTGTCTACACTGCACCCAGCCACCCACTCACCTCCACCCCTCCCCAGAGCTCCCTAAGGGAGCAGCGCCGGGCTCCCGGCGTGGCGGAGAACACCCAGCGCTGCTGCGTGTGGGATCTGCTGCCCAACCCGAGGGCTTACTTATGCGGCAGGACGTCACCTCTTTGTTCATGGAGAGGAGATTCCCCTAATGAGCTCTGCACCTTGGAGCGGGTCTTTGATCGGAGTCTTATCCCAAATATCTGACCTTGGTAGGATAAACAAGCGGACGGGGCTTCTTTCCTTCTGGGTGGGCTTCCTGTTGGCTCCTCGCTTCTTAGTGACCGAAGCCCTGGCCCCACCCGCTTCTGCGTCTGCCCTCAGCTGCCTTCTTCCCTTTCCCGCCTGCAAGCCTTTCCCAGCCGGGCTCTCTCCGCCTCTGTGCTCCTGCCAGGCCAGGAAGCCTCGGCGTTCCTCCGTCTGTAACTCTGGAGGAACGGAATCTCTCACCAAGGACTTTGCCCCGGTAGCAGCAAAGGCCGGGCTCCAAGCCGGTTTGGTTGTGTGTGTGTGTGTGTGTGTGTGTGTGTGTGTGTGTGTATGTGTATTTTATTGGTACATTTTAGGTACACCTAATGATCACATTCATCGTAGGGCATTTGTACCTGTGCGTGATACATCTAGCTTCTGCCTCTCTCCCATTCGCTTCCCTCCCTTCAACCCCTCCTCCCCTGCTTATTTACAAAAGCTTTGTTTCCATTTCTTCCTTCCACTCTTTTTTTCTTGTCCCTTCTTTCCTCCCATGTTCTTCTCATCTGAACTTCCCATCTCCCGGTATCTGTTATGCATTTTGGTCCTTGTTTACATTCTGGCTTCCTCACACCAGAGAAACAGTGTGGTTTTTAAACATGTGTGTCCGATTTATTTCACTAGAGAGTATGGTCTCAAGCTGTATTCATTTAGTTAGAAATATCTCAAATTATCCTTCTTTATTGCAGAGTAGTACTCCACTGTATTAAAAAACCACATCTTCTTTATCCATTGATCAGTTGATGGGCATTTGGGCTCTTTCCAAGGTTTGGCTAACACAAACTGTGCCACTATAAATATGGGGGTGCATCCATCACTGTGATGTGATGCTTTTAGTTCTTTTGGGAAGATAGCAAGAAGGGGAATAGCTTGGATGAATGGAACCACTAGTCCTAGTTTTTGGAAGAATCTCCACACTGATTTCCACAGTGGTTGCACCAGTCTACACTCCCACCAACAGTGCAGAAGGGATCCTTTTCCCCACAGCCTCTTCAGCATTTGTTACTGGTTGATTTCTTGATGATAGCTGTTCTTTCTGGAGTGACAGGAAATCTCAGTATCATTTTAATTTGCATCTCTCGAATGATCAGGGGTGTTGAACATTTTTTCATGTATTTTTTTCTATTTCTACTTCATCCAAGAAGTGTCTATTTTGGATGCTGAGTTTTGGATTGAGTCTTTAAATTTGGGGTGTCTGATTTTATATTTTCTAGATAGTAGTCTTTAGTCTGAGAAACAGCTGGCAAAAATTTTTCCCCACTCTGTGAATTGTCTTTTCACTCTGCTGGTGGTTTCTTTTGCTGTGCAAAAACTTCATCAGATGAGATCCCAGTTGTTGACTCTTTGTGATAGTTCCTGTGCAATCAAGGTTTTCTTCATAAAGTCTTTGCCTACACTAATGTCTTCAGGAGTTCTACCTGTTCTCTCTCCCAGCAGATTTAGTGTTTCTGTTTTAATATTTAGATCTTTAATCCATTTTGATTTTAGTTTAGTGCACGGTGAAAGCTATAAGTCTAGTTTTAATCTTCAGCATGTGGAAAGCCAGGTTCTCCAGCACCATGTACTAAAGAGGCCATCTTCCTTCCAGTGAAGGTGTTCGGCTTCTTTCTCAAAGATGGGATGGCTGAATGTGTGTGTTGTTTCTGCATCTTCTAATCTTCTCCACTGATCCTTGGATCTGTATTTCTGTCCAGACCTGCTTGGAATACAGATGTCTTCATGGCCTTTCACTCCCTTTCCAGGGTCTTCTGTCTTCCAGAGACGCCATCTACTCTCAGTTCTTTCATTTGTCCTGTACAGGAAAAAGTGAATATGAGGAGTTGTTAGCAACGTCATATGTTGCTCCTTCTTTCAGAGCAAAGGCATTTGTAAAAGAGGACCAGAAGGAGAGAAGGCTGCCCCATGTACTGGTAGAGGGCTGGCTGCTTTGCTCCGGCCAAGGCCACTGGGTTTAAACATCTGACAGATACTCCAACAACAAGCAGGAGAACAGCCCTGTTTTCTCCCACAGGCTGGAGTGGCTCTGTTCAGCTCAGCCCAGCCCAGCAAAATAAGCACTGCGCCTCTGGAGCAGCTCTCTGATTTAGACAACCGGCAACTGACCGAACTTTTGACTACGGAATTCTTAAGGGAGTGGGGGAACTTCTCAGGTGTTGACTATGTACATCCGGGAAATCAGCACTTACCCATATTGAGCTGGTTCTAACGAGGCACTGCCGGGGTCATGTTCCCAGCAGGCACCGCCAGTGTGCTCTTGGGAGTAGGACTGGCTGAGCAGATGCGGTAGGATCCAGGCTAGAGGAAGGAGTGTGGCTGAATTCACAGAGTGCTTTTTCCTCTATCCCCACACAGACTGACTCATTTCCTGTTTTTACACTTCCCCTGCAGGCTGTGAGCTGAAAAGAAAAACTACACAGCCTCAGGATGTGTTCTGAAAACACAGCAGAAATCAGAAATGTTATAGATTCACTGAGTTGTGTCCTTTTCCCATACAGAATCGTTTTTGTGGACTTTATACATTTTGTACTTGGTATCTCTTTTTCCGTAATCCTTCTAGAGTGCCTTGCAAAGGGAACACACACACACACAGCATAGTAAACGAATTACAGCAGCTAACCCGTAACACCATGCAATATCGCCCCCACCCACAAACATTTTCCATGCACTTTCATTACATCCTGCAAAATGCCTCACCCAAAAGCCTACAGAATAACAGTGCCAACTGGACATAAAAGTGTGCCAGGCTGTTGTGACTACTGTAAGCGGGCAGACATTTCTGAATTCACAGACAAATGGTTTTTGACCTACAAATTGAACATTTCTCCCCTTTGCAAGTAAAAGTGACTTCTGTATGTTTTTTCAGAAAATCCTTTGTTCTTAAGTACATAAAAATACAAAGCTTTTGTAAAAAAACAAACCAGCACTGGTTATTCAAACTGTCTCATGTCCTACTGCGCAGTACTGGTGAGTAATGGTGAGTTGGTGAGTAGTAACTGATGCCTCTTTTCTTAAAAGATAAGAAATGGAAGTGACAGCAGCTCACCACTACTTGGGCTCTACTGTGGAGCCCTGCTGCCCAACCCCGTGTTCTCCCAAAGTAACACACTGTATCTACGGTTCAAGAGCGACAGCAGCATTTCCGGCCGGGGATATGGAATCACCTGGACCTCATCCTCCTCTGGTAAGATATTTGCTTTGCAAGCTGAAGTAATGTAGGTGAGAAAAACACGAGATGTCCAATAGCAAAAGACAAAGCGACCTTATCTTCTCTGCTGTTTCTCTGACGATATTCTGCTAAAATTAGGGATATTTTTAACAACAAAAGCACAGATTCTCCTTAATTCCACATTTATTTTTATTTCTACATATAGAAAAGTGTACATATTTACACAGAAACTAGAAATAAAAGAATTTTAAATTCCTCTATGAATTCTGTTCTGTGAGGTGTTTGACTTTTGTTTTGATCACCAAGGCAGTTGTCTAAGAATTTAATGGAAAGAGGTGGCCCTAAAAGCCGAATGCCTACCACTTCCTGTGCATAGATGAGCCACTGTGCATGCTGGGTCACTGCTGCTTCTCAGCAGTCCTGGGCGTTGCTTCCTTTTTCAGGGATTTATCTTCTTCCCTGTTTGGTTTATTAAAGAGCTGATGCAAATTTACATCATACCATTTAACTTGTGAGAAGGAATACCTTTATAAAAGGCCCCAAAATACCTAAAAAGCCCCCCAAATAAAAATAATAGCAAGGAATCACTTTACCCATGCTAAGGGTCAGGAAGAGGGTTCTATCAAGAAGCCAGTCCTGGATAATGAAACCTTTGTACCTAAAGGAGACTGAGCAATTTTCTCCAAGGCCCTCATTTTAAAAATGAGAAGCTAAAACACCACAATCAATGAGTTGCCCAGGATGCCCAGCTGGACCGCAGTGGAGGTGGGTCAGACGCCAGGCTGGGTGCTTTTGAGCCTCTCCAGCTTCTTCTGGACCTCCACGGGTATCCGGTCTAACTCACAGTAGCTCTGGTATTTAAAGGAAGAAATAACACCAGTATCTAAAGAGTTTTGGCTTTAAATACGTCAATCTTAAAGCTGTCGGTCATTATCCTAGTAATGCAACAGCAAGCAGAAACACCAAAATGACACCCAGGATTTGGAGGCAGATTTATTTACTTCGATGGGCACTGATCGGGATCATTCCCAGAATATCAGGCCCTGATCTCTGGTGGCCTAGGACTTATATGGGATAAGCAAGCAGGAAGTACAGAAGCAGAATGGCTTGTCAGTTGGGGACTGGTTTATACAATGTGCATCACAGTGACCACCTATGCATCATAGTGACCATCCATTTCTAAGAGACAGGAGCAACCAGAACTACAACAGGAACTATTACCTAGGAAACTAAGAAACTAAAGTACACTGGCTGGGGGAGGGGGCGTTTTCTGTTACAGTGAGGTCCCTTTTATTGTAAAGTGATTTGTATCAAAAGCTACAGTGGCAGTCTCTGTTGGGCCCAGAATGTTATTTTTAATTTGACTTTAGCATAGTTACCGTCAACTCAGCACACACAGGTGCTCATTGCCAAGTTCCGGTCTCACCCCAGAAAGAACCGCCATCATCAAAAAATCGGATAATAACAAACGCTGACTGGGCCATAGGGAAAAAGGAACCTGTGTACGTTGTTAGTGGGAATCTAAACCAGTACAACCACTATGGAAATGAGTATGGAGATTCCTGAAAAAACTAAAATTAGAAATTCTGTTTGACCTAGCTATTCCCCTTCTAGGTATCCTCCCCAAAGAGTTAAAGACATCACAATTCACAGTAGCTAAATCTTGGTAGCAACTCATGTGCCATCGCTAGGTGAATAGATAAAAAAGTGTGATAGTCACACACAACGGAGTACTACTCTGCCATAAAAATGGAGTTGTTTGTAGGAAAATGGATGCACCTTGAGACCATAATGTTGAGTGAAATGAATTAGACTCCCTTCAGAGGGGGAGGGGGTCAGGAGATAGAGGGAGGGGAGAGAAGGAAGGGAAGAGGATGAACAGGGAATTAAGAGGAGGAGGTGACTGGGCTGGGGACTGTAGCCCAAAAGTGAAGCTGCAGACAGCGGTTTCTGCTCCCTGTTCTGCACAGTCTCACTCAGCTCGTTAATTAAATAACAGGGGTGACCTCGCCCTCTGCACATTCAAAGCAGGCTCAAGGCTTACTCTGTGCTCACGCGAGCTCCCTGCTGCTCCTCCTTGCAGGCTGCGGGGGGACTCTGTACGGAGACAGCGGCTCTGTCGCCAGCCCGGGCTACCCCGGCACCTACCCCAACAACACTCACTGCGAGTGGGCCCTGTCCGTCCCCTTGGGCAGGCGGGTGGTGGTCAGCTTCTACCTGATCAACATCGAGGACCCGGGAGACTGCGTGCACAACTATCTCCTGCTGCACGACGGGCCCGACGCTGCCTCTCCGTCCTCCGGCCCCTACTGCGGAGCGGTGAGTACCACGACGCTAGATTCGCACTTCCCGCGTTTAAAAACCGAAGGTAACGTGGATTCGTAAAGGCGGACACAGGGAAGCACAAGCCTTCAACGAAGAGTGCAGTGCTGACTTTCTATCGGGGGCACGAGTGCCACCTGGTGGACATGCTCTTTAATTACTACCGATGGCCCAAACCGGACCGCACCCGGGTCCCCGTGGAACTGCTTACATTACAGTCCGTTTCCAGTGGAAAAGTCATAGCGTGCTGCTTTCAAAAGCTGCAGAAGCGCTCTCGGCGCACCTTCAGGACTGAAAACTTACGTCTATTTCTATAGAGACTGTAGAGTATTTATAACGAGACCTGAACTGCTGGCAGATTCCTCCCTTTCATTTCTACTTCCTGCTGAAATTCTCTGAAACAGCAGTGACCAGTAGTTCGATTGCTTTTGTAAAGTCCTGATGCACTGCATCTTCCCCAAGCATCAACTTAGAATCCGACACTGACGCAATGCAATGCACAGCCCCCGCCCTTCCTACCTCGTGCTAAAAGAGCTTACAGAGCTATCAGGGCCTGTGTGGCTGCTGGTGAGAAGCTGTTTCTACCTATCCCGCTTTCCTCATTTGCCTTTTCGAGTCGAATTGGGTAGAGAATTCTATAAGTGGAAATGCAGAGAATTTTAAAAATATAACTCACTTGTAAACTTGGTAAGTGTTCTTTTTTCAGAAATAATAGAACATAGATTAATTTTCTTCTAAAACCTTGAGAATTCTCCTACTGTAGTCTTCACAGCACCTTTCCTTGAGTATATTTGCATCCACACGCGCATTCTTATCCTCCCCGGTGGAGGTTTCTTTCACTTATCAACACATCTATCATGAGCATCTGAGCGGACCAATAAAAGCATGTATTTTTTCATTCATTGTGCCCTCTGTTGTCATTGGACAACATCATGGTCCGGCATAAATTACCTAACAAAGCCCCTCTGACTGGAAGTTTAGGCCGTGTGGACCTTTCACTACTGCAGACAACTTGGCTCCTCTACCTTTATACACAGAGCGACTGTGTGGGGAGAGATTTTGGTCATGGGACCGCTGGGCGTCACCTCACTGTTCACATGCAGGAGGCCACAGCCAAGAGACCCCAGTGAAGCTGCCGAATCCCAGATTTAGAGCTGCATCTTGCATATTTCATTGAAATTTATACATCGTTCAAAAGGGAGGCAAAGAGATAATTTTAACAATGCCATTATTCTGTATTTGTGTAGTGTGTGTATGCATGTGTGGGTGTATGCGTGTGTGTGTGTGTGTGTGTGTGTGTGTTTCGGCTCCCTGGATCCCCATGTGACAATCCTGTGAAGGGGGAGTTCCTGCATATCCTGGACCTTGCCGATAAAAGGAAACTCAGGCCCTGAGAAGGGTACTGATGGCCATTTAAGCCAATGTCACCTTAAATCCAAGTATACAGCTAGATATGTCAGCTTTGTCCCTCTGTTGCTCTTCACAGTATTTCCCCTGTCTTACATTTTCTGTTATAGATGTGGCTATATGCACGCCTGTAGTCCCCACCCTTTGGTAAGCTGATGCAGGAGGCTTGCTTGAACCCAGAAGTTCAAGACCACCCTGAACAGCATAGTGAGACCCCATCTCAGAAAAAGCAGTAGACATAATTTCATGTGTAATTGTATTTTTCATAAATGAAAGGTGCCACCAATATATAAAGTATAAATATGACTGAAAAATTATAGAACATAAAGTCAGTGTACATGAAACAGTAGAAGTAAACCTTTGCATTGCCAGTGTAGACACACAACTGTATGGGGACTTAAAGGTGTTTCATGTTATGATAAAATAAGTGTCTTTGTTCACAAGGAAATTCTGCGTCACTTGCAGCTTCAGACTCAGAACATGTAGAAAACGAAAGAAGAATAGGACATTTTCATTACCCTCAGAAGAAACCCTGCACCCACCTCCCCTCACACTCCACCCGTTGAAATAATCTTTTGTAAAGTTTTGACGCTAATTCTTGCCAACTTGACTTCTAGAAATATGTGCAAGATCACTATAAACTCTATAAAACTTTAGTGCATATTTTTTTGTCACATTTCTAGAAAACTATTCAAATTTTAACAAGTTCTAACTTGTTGCCTTTTTCTGTGTTACAGGACACTGACATAGCTCCCTTTAGGGCTTCTTCAAATCGTGCCTTCATAATATTCCACGCGGAGTACGCAACACGTCCATCTGCGTTCAGGTTAACGTGGAACAGCTGAGCTGAAAAGTCTGGGTTACTCAGCCCCGTGGCTCCGCCCAGGGGCCATCAGACGTCACGTGGGACAGAACTCCGCCATCCTTGCCCGGGGCCACGCCTGTACCACTGAGCAAAAACCGAACTTCTGTGGCTTCCGGCAGAGAATGTATGGGATCAACATTTACCCATTGTGTTGTACATAGACTACCTTCTTTCTATGGCTATGTGTATCATTCTTTCTTCTAATGTTTTGAGCTGAAGTTTAAAAATTCTTTAAAGGTTCAAAAGTGATGTAAATTTTTAAAAAATTAATAAAATTTGATTTTCATTGTGGGTGTCAGAGTTAATATTGAAGGGCATAAAATGAAACTGCGTTACTTTTTAACTCTTTCAAACTTAGTCTTTTACTATGGCTCAATGTAGAAAAAAGTCTGACGTGACCTCCGAAGTCTCTCTCATTTCACCCTCCGCTTGCCTTGCATTCTCCTTGGCGGTGCTGAATCTTTCCACACTTACTCCAAGGACGCTGTCATTTCCTGGTTAGCGAATTTCTGTGTGTTCTTCATTCTCTGTTACTCCGTATTTCTAAGACATTTCCTTTGCTTTTCTTGAGCTTGACCTCTTCTCTACATGCCTAAGTACCAAGGATGCTTGCTTTTTCTTCCAAATATCTTGTCTACTGTTTACAGCTCACTTTGAAAATTATTACCAACATGTAGCTTCCCAAATCCTATATGTAAGAATTTCTCCCTTTTTGATGTTTCATAGCAATTAACGTGTGTGTGTTTGTGTGTGTGTGTGTGTGTGTGTGTGTGTGTGTGTGTGTTCCTGGGGATGTGGTACTGGGGATGGGACCCATGCTAAACAGGCATTCTGTCACTGGGCTGCACCCCCAGCCCACTGTTTCTTGATCAACTTAGCTGTGTATGTTTCATCTCCCCTTATTAAACTGTGTGTCCTTTGAGGACATGGCTCTTGAGTGCTCCCATAATTGTGAAACATGGAATGGATTCCCTCTCAACTGATAAACTGTCACTATGATCCTGCTCGGTTGCCCATCTTTTTCTAGGTGTAGGCAGCTCAGAAGTAGGCTGGGTTCCTCATGACAGGGACGGCTCAAGGGCAGCCCAGTGACCACTGCAGGTAAGTGGCTTGCAGCTACAGAGGGGTGGGACTAAGCCGTGATGCCAAGAAGGAAGGAAGACTGCTGTGGGGGAGAAGACATCCGAAATCAACATTAAGCAGCAGCCTGCATGAGTTCCCCAAATCCTCAGAGATCCATTTATTTTCCAAATGAGTTACTGAGCCTAATAACTAAAGATGTTTACTCCTGAAATTTAATATTATATATTGTGGAGCTTGCCTCCCCCACCCCAAAAAGCAGTGTATTCCTTACATTTTGTCAAAGAAAAATATAAACTTTAATTATATCATAATGCCTTTGTTCAAATTTTCCTCTGCATTTTCTTCTTTTCTCTATGCCAGTGCATAACATCATTATTCACACCATTGGAATGTTACTGCATAAATGTAACACATATTACATTTATTACATTAAATTAATTTTTTCATGTTTCCAGTATTGTTAATTATACTTTAAAATCATACAGTATATAACTTATATGTATTTCACTTAACAACTTCCTCTGTTCACATATTTCCTTCATTCTCAACCTACTACTGTAACAGACGAACATTTGGCAAATACTTTTTGCTTAATTTAAAAATCATTTTATTGTGAAATAACATAGGTTCACAGAAAGCTGAAAGGTCCTGCATATGGAAAGTTTATGTGTCCCTTTCACCTAGTCTCCCCCAGCTTTACACAATGCGTTTTGAATTCTTTCCTATGGGTAGATTTCTGGAAAAGTGGAAGATCTGTTGTCTTGTATTTTGAATTATTGGTGAAAAGGATCAGAAAATTTACATTTCTACTACCAATCACAATTCTGCTAATTTTAGAAAAATATCCAAGTAGAAGCCAGAAGATATTTTTAACTAGCTAATTCATTTCATTTTAACTAGCTAATTCATTTGAAAATTCCCAAGAGTGTTTTGAATTTGAGAACCCTTTGGAAATCGGCAAACATTTGTAATTTATAGTGAGGAGAAATTCTGTCAGAAATTCTTAAACACTTCAAAATGGTAACAGCAATGGATTAAACCAAGTGTGGTGTCCACTGATGCCTAGAAATCTGTGGAATAGGAGAGGTCACCCCCCCAGGAAGCTGGCCCTGCTCTCCATGGGTATTCAGATTTGGAACTTTGGGACACATTTATCTAAGAATTATATTCAAGATGAGCAATTACATATAATTTCTTATATATATCATACATTCATATCCTTATATATGCATGTGTTTGTCTGCTACTATTATGTATTCCAAAGCTATATTAATAAAAGAAAATTATACTGGAAACATGGAAAATAAGAGGGTCACCAGGGAGTTGAGAGATTATGGCATAAGAAGAAATATATTTGTGTCTGTCCTGCCTTCCTAGCTCCTAAAACTCCTGCGATTTTCTGAGTGCTGAGGTGCTAGCTACATGTTCTGATATTTGGTCTTTGACTTCAGGTCCTAACACAGAGCTAACTTCCTAGGTGATAAGAGCACCTTTAGTTCTAATGAAGTGACTGTTGGTGGATTCCTGGATGGAGACTGGTCATCAAAAAGACCAAGCTATGTGGAGAAGAAGCTTGGAATGCTCAATCCCACCCTCATCCTCTAGCAAGAGGAGGGGCCTGAACGTTCAGTGAGAATGCCTAATTTAGGGTCATGCCTGTTGATGAGGCCATAAAAATCCCTGAAGTGCGAGGTTCAGAGCACTTCCTTGCGGTGAACACATCCACATGCGGGGGTGATACACCCCAACTCTAGCCTGCACTCAGGACTCCCGAACTTTGTCCTGTACACCTCTTCATCTAGCTGTTTGTGTGCCCTTCATTATATCTTTTATGAATAATAAACCGACAAATGAGTTTCTCTGAGTTCCATGAAGCATCCTAGCAAATTACCTGAACTAGAGAAAGAGGTCACTAGAGCTCCAATTATTTCAGGTCATCAGAAGCACAGGTGACCACCCACTACCTACTCTTGACTGGAATAAAGTATGGGTAGTCTTGTGGGACTGAGCTCTTTCCCATGGATCTGATTTTTCCCATGGGATCTGCAGGCGGATAGCGTCAGAAGTGAGATCCACTGTAGGACAGGAAGCTGGTGTCCGCTGGATTGCTCGGCATGTGAGGAAAACCGCACACACATATGGTATCGGAAGTGCTGGGTACTGAGTGTGTGTGCAGCAAAAGCAGTTTGATTTTTCCTATTTCAGACAGAAGTGAAGACAACTTTCTATAACATTCAGGAACTGAAGGAGAGCTCACTTATAAATAAAACAGAAAGAAATTGCTGCCTAGAATAACTTCCAGAGAGAAAGGCAGCAGGGCTGGGAATTGCTGTTCCAGGTGCTGTCTGTGTGTGGGACTGGCAGGTGCAGGATGGGAAGGTGGGTGGGAAGGAATGGAACTGCGTTAGCAGGCACCACAATCACCATATCCCACATAAAACTGTGTTCTGTCCTCCAAAAAACAGCAAACAGCCCAAGGAAGCCAAATGCTGACCCCAGAGAGAAACAAATACACGTAAACAAGAATGGAAGAATCCACTCCAATTATCCAGAACAATCAGTTCAGGTCTTCAGCTCAAACATAATAGGCCAGCCAAGATAACCGGAAGAATCCTAGGAGCATACAGTGGAAGAGAACTAAATAAACACGTATGAGAAGGGACCCTTGAAGAAAGTAGCGTAGCAAACAGAAAGGAGGCATAAAAACCATTACTGTCAGAGAGATTTGGAAGAGAGATCATTCATGAAATAAAAGCAGGGCACTAGTTAAGACAGAAGAGTGGGGCCCTAATCCAACAGAATTGGTGCCCTTGTAAAAAGAGGAAGCAACATCACTTACACAGGGAAAAAGCCTGTGAGGATCTAGAGTAGCGGCTGTCTCCATATCAAGGAGAGTCCTCAGAAGAAATCAGACCTGCTGGCATTTGACCTTGGACTTTCAGCTCCCAGAACTTTGAGGAATCAAATTTCTATTGTTTTGGCCACTCAACCTCTGGTATTTTTTTGTAACAGTTCCACAACATTCACAAGGTGCCAGTGCTTTCAACCTTCGTTGAAAGGAATCACTATCAGAAATGGACAGAATAAGACAAATTATCAACTTTTCAAAAAGCATTTTTGCTTTTAAGGAGCTAATGATTCAAGAAATGAATATATAATAGAATGTCAACTGTTAAGTAGAGATGAAATTAGAAAATCATAAATGAGTGCTAATATTAATTTAAAAAGATGAGAAAGGAATTTTTACGTAATCCTATAGCATCTCCTCCACACATTACTTTTAATTATGAAGGAAAAAATATCAACTTTATGGTGAGAAAACCTGCCAGACACCTCCTTAATTAAGAGATCAGAGCTCACCTCACCAATCTCAGGAGAAAACAATGTCATCTCTTGGTATATGGAAAAAGGCCTATTGTTTTAGTAGTATTTTTCCAAATTTCATAACCTAAATCTAAACACAAGGAAACCTTAGATAAACCTACTTCGAAGAACATTCTGCAAAATATCTGGCTTGTATTCATAGATAATATCTAGTTCAAGGATTAAGAGGGCTGAGGAACTGTTGCGGAGTAAAGAAGACTAATGTAAGCATGATATTTTTATTTGGAATGTTCCTTAAACAAGAAATCTCACTTTTCACATTCAAAGGTACAGATCTTTCTTTCATCCAGCTGGTTCAGAGCCTGCGAATGTGTGCGTCTCTGTGTTTGTCTGTGAGTCAACCTACCTCTCCTTCCATCTATCTTGTTGATACCAAAAGAAGGACTGTCTTTCTATGTCTGTCTATCTATCTATCTATCTATCTATCTATCTATCTATCTATCTATCTATCTATCATCTGTCTACATACCTACCTATCACCTCTATTTCATGGTATGTAATTGTCTCTAGGCACAAGTTTCAGTTGAGAGGACTGAATTCGTATTAGTGGGTGACATGAGTGGAACCGACTGAGGAAATACCAAGGCAGCACCCAGTTTTGTCAGAATTCAAAATTTGATTGCCTTTTGAAAAGGAAATTGGAGCTTTCTGGGATCCATAATATGTTTCACAGATGTCAAAGTCAACTATGGCTTTTAAAGTGGTTTGGGTTTTACTTGTAGCTTCTAACCCTGAGTAGGGGGCACTCCATGTGCTCAAGACCAAAGATCTGGTGCAAAAAAGCCAGCAGCTTCGGACAAACTTACGGAGTTTTCAAAAATACGATTTTGAGCTGCAACCTACGGATACACAGAACACGACTGAGTTGTGGATTCCAGTAGCTCATTCTATAGCGTTCCTTCCAGGGGAAGGACTGATAAAGGTAAAATTGCAGAAAACAATTAGCTACCTAACAGTAGCGACCTCTGGTAAGCAGAGCTGCAGTTAAAGAAGCTGAGCCCGGAGACCCACTCACTTTGAGTGAAATTTTCCAGGACCCACCCTCAGCTATGACCTTCTTCCGGCTCAAGACACACCAAACCCCCCACTTCCGCCCTCATTACTTCGACCTTCCATCGACTAACTGAGCATGCGCCAATCCTAGAGCTCGCCTTTCTGTGCTGCTAATTGGCATCTCAAACCCGGAAGAGAGGAACTAATCTCGACTTGGGGGCGGAGTCTCGGAGGCAAATAAAGGACGTGGTTGGCTGGCCTCGGGGTTCACATTCTTCTATAGGCGGAGCCTCTCCCTGAAGCCAAGTTTAATAAACTGTTCTCCTAATTTGGGAAGTGTCGCGTGCGGGCGGGGCGTGGCCCGGGGGCGGCCGGGTGTGCGCCTGCGCGGAGCGGCGGGACAGGGCGTGTTCCGTGTACCCGAAGGGCTTGCAGCGAGGGAGCGCATCTCTGCCCGCCGCGCGCGTCTTGCGGGAGTTCCCTGGGTGCCCTGCTGGGTGAGTGGGTGCCACTGCACCAGATTTGCTTCTCTGCCCGGCCGAGACCGGGCTGGACCCTTCCTACCCCCTTCCCACTGCTCTGCCCACCATCCCGCCTGGCCAGAACTGGGGCGTGGCCGCCGGAGGGGTCTTAACCCTATGTCCCCCTGTCTGTCTTGTCATCGCCCATGTGCTGTGTTGTCGTTTGGTGCAGAACATGTCCAAGTCTCTGAAAAAGTTGGTGGAGGAGAGCCGGGAGAAGAACCAGCCGGAAGTGGACATGAGTGACCGCGGCATTTCCAACATGCTGGATGTCAACGGCCTGTGTGAGTGCCCGAGGGTCCCCGCCTGCCCCGGGAGCTGGGAGGGTTTGTGGGTTTGCCCAGGAGCCGCGGGTCCTCACGGAGAGCGGGGAACGCTTTCCACCGCACGCTGTGCTTGTAAACATCACCTGTCTGGTGCCTGGCGCGGAAAGTTTGCGATCAGAACCACACTGACTCTGGATCTATGGCGTGGATCCAGTTGCTGGACCTCTGTGGGCGGCTCGTCCTCGTCGTTTTCCTAACACAGAAGTTACACGATGAGTAAGAGTTCTTGTGCCTGGAGTATTACAAACATTTCTTGACTTCTTACCTCGTTCTGGGTCTTTATTCTAATTTAATTCGAGTTTTGTTAACTTTTTCTTGTGCTGTAGTGATAGCGTCCTAACTTGCTGTGTTGTCTCCGCTCTAAGGGGTCAGTTTAATCACTTTATGCCCTCCGGTGCTGTTCTCTGGCAGCACCTATGGTGTTATGTTACTGTCTTCTTTAAAATCAGGAATCGCAGGCTCAAATCGCTGCAGGTGGTATTGGACATGAACTCCATCATATGCGTCGATCCAGATGGGGCAGCTGCAGCCCGAGCTACTCAAACCCAAACAGCTGTCGCCATGCGTTGCCAGATTTTCTTTTTTTTAAGAAGCCAAAAATGCAGATTGTGATAGCCACTGTCTTCCTTTTTAAATATTAACAACTAATTCCAATATTCGAAAAATCCTTTATAAGTGAAGTTAAGCAGTTCTTCAGGCTGAATATGACTTACGGTCGGGTCTTCTCCTGGAGACATGTCTAGTTGCCCTTCACTAACAGCCGTGCCGCAGGCTCCTCAGCGTGGGGGGCGAGGTCCAGCTGAGTGTGTCACAGCCTTGTCCTTCCCGCGTGCTCAGCTACACTGAACCTCAGCCACCTGAGCCAGAGCATCCTGCACCTTCCCTCCCCCCACGCTTTGCACCTGAAGTCCTTTTGCTTCTGTCAGTGGTCTACTGAGGTGTCCCAGCAAAGAAGAAGCCTTCTCTGTGCCCAGCTGACCAGTCACTCCCTCCTCTGAAGTTGGACATGCGTCTCTTTCCTCTGCTCCCCGCCCGGAGATGGGGGGCTAAGCCTGTGCGGTGTGCCCCTTATAGTCACTACCACTTCCTGAAGCACAGCAGGGGCTCCCAGCTGTTTGGTGAATGAAGACGAATGGACGAGGCTTACAGGTTTGTGAGATGCAGTCCAGGGTGTGACAGCAGAGAAGAGGTGTGCAAGTGACCCCGAAAGAGGATGAGTAGCTTGGCAGGCATGGGGAGATTGAGTTGACTGTGAATTCCTGCTTTGTGCCCGGGGCACATTCGCGGTTGATGCTATTGGTGTATCTTGGCAAAAGGAGCCGAGATGAAGAGCTGTAGATGGCTTGCGTTTGGTGGCCGTGATTTGATCAGTGTGCTTAACCTTATATTAATGAACACCTCAGTCTTGCTCTTGTATGCTGGTCGCTTGCGTTAAAGATGGGTTGTTGCTCAGAGCAGAAGTCTGGTGCTGGCTGGGCAGCTGAGGATCTGGATGGGCTCCACGCAGCCCCTCCCCAGCAGTGATCGTGAGTTTTACTTGGGCACTGCTGCTAGAGGCAGAAGAGGGTACTGAGGAAGCGGCACAGCTGTACCCTGGCCCCCTATTTTTCTCTCTTACAGCAGCCTTTTTCTCACAGGGCCGAAGAGAGAGTTTCTCTTAGCACAGCAGCGTTAGGCGCCTCTGCTTTAGAAGAGCCTCCATGTAATATTTACAAGTGGAAACCGTGGCTTAGCTGTTTCACTTCAGCTTCATTATCTCGCGGAAGCCGTGGCTCTTAGGACAAAGATAGCTGTTTGCTTCCTGAGAAAAATGTTTCCGGTACAACATTGGGTGGAGAAAAAGCAAGATCATTCTTCGGTTGCTGAGGAAGAGAACATGTTGGGAAGTTTGGTGGAAGGGCGCTTGGAGATCCCACCCCTCAGGTTTCTGTGGTCGCCCCAGGACAGGCTGCCCTCTGCTTATTCCTGGACCTGTGCAGTCCTCGGGTACAGAGTCCTGAGTTCTTCTGCACAAGCCTCATCTGCAGCTCACTCATCAGCCATGCACACAGTGCTCAGTATTTCCATGTAATAAAGTACCCGGCATGGTTACATGAGTGTCTTCCTTTACTTACACAACTTTGCGTAAGGATGGAGGTTTTGTATTTCTTTTTTTCCTTTCTTTATTTTTTGTCTTTTTGAGACAGGGTCTCACTATGCAGTTCAGGCTGGCCTTGAGCTCACTTTGTAGCCCAGGCTGGTCTCGAACTCGCGACGATCCTCCTGTCTCAGCCTCCTGAGTGCTGGGATTATAGGGGTGCGCCACCACGCCTGGCTTTTTGATATTTTTTTTCTTTCTTTTTTGTGTTGTATTTCTTTGAGGCATATAAAATGCTTGGAAGAACAGAGTCTCAGAGAGAGCAAGTTAACTTTTATAGGCGTTTTGTGGAATTTGCTACCAAATACTTTTTCAAGGGGGAAAACTTCCTAGTCCGGTGGCGGATGTCCAAGTGCAGTTTCTTGCCTGCCCACTCAGATGGCAAGGATGGTCAGATCCTATGTTGAGAAGCCTGGGAGCCAGGCTTGGGCTGGGAGAGGCTGGGTTCAAGTTCTGCTGCTTGCTACTGTGTAACTTTAGAGAAGTTACTTAGCCTTGCTGAGCTCCAGGTTCCTTTTGTCAAATGGTAACTAAGTAGCACTTGGGAGGACTGGTGTCTTAGTTACCTTTCTCTCCTTGCTGAGACAGAGTACCCCATTGCCAAAATTAAGGAAGGAAAGGTTTATTTAGCTCACAGTTTGTGGAGGTTTCAGTCCTTAATCAGTTGGCTCCAAGGCAGGGTGGTGTGGCACAAGGGCAACCGTTCAAGGGGGCAGAAGAGAGGAAAAGCAGCAAGAGTAAAGGGGGGGAGCAAGCCTCTTTTCCTCCCTTAAATTGTCTGCTGCTCTCCACCCTAGGGTGGGTCCTTTACACCCACACCATATCCAAGCCCTCCTCTTGCACAAGCTCAGAATGTTTACAAAGTGGGGACCCTGGCCCCATGCTGAGTAACTTCCTTAAACTTCTAAACTCTTCAAGTTGCCATAATGTATCAACCAGTACAACTGGCTTAGTGTTAAATTCAGTAACTGTGCCTTACACAGTAACTATTAATATGAATATCCGTGCAGGCCCAGAGCCTAGATGTACGCAGTTCCAGCTTCAGCAGTTGCCTGAACCAAGATTTTAACTTGCTTACTTAGGCTGGGTAAATCAGTTGTGTCATCTGTTGGCGTTTTTTTTTTTGTGTGTGTTGTTTATTAGAACTTGGAATGTCTGGCATTTTTGCCAAGGGTTCTACTTGATTAGCTAGCTGTTATTTTGATACTTCTAATTCTCTATTTTTAAACATTTTTTTCTACCTTGCACATACTTTGCACACACATTCTTCCTTAAAGTTTTTAAGAGTAATGCTGACCTCTTTGTTCTTTTTATTAAACAGATTTTACCCTGGAAACTCTCCAAACAGCAACTCTCTTCTCATAAATGATAAAGTTACTTTTTTTTGTACTAGGAATTGAATTATAAAGTTACTTTTATTATTATTATTTTTTATTTTAAAGAGTAAAAGAAGAACAACAAAGCAGTAGGGGGATACACCGAATTACAGACAGAGTGGTAGGACATTATCAATGGTTGTTATTTTACCTATTGGTATCTTCAAGATAGTTTCTCAGGAAAACAAACAGACAAATAATAGTGAGTTACAGACAGAAATGGCAGGAAATTATCACTGGTTGTTGCACTATACCCTGCTTTCTCCAGAGTGGTCTCTAGGGAAAACAAATAGAGCTATACATGAGTGATCAATCAAATAATCATTGACTATTCTCAATGGTTGTTGCAAACACATAGTAACAAACATACATCCGTTTATGGAATAGCATAGGAACAATACAAACATTACAGAGCTATGGACAGATTGGTAGGAAATCATCAGTGCTGCAATACATGTTGGCATCCTCAAAGTGGCTTCTCAGGAAAACAAAGATAGGTAAGGAAGATCCAACAAGTAGTTATAGCCCAAGGGTTGCGAAAAATAGCGGGTTACCTCATCAGTGACTCCCCTCACTGAGGTGTGACGGGCAGGAAGGAAGGCCAGGGCTGAAAAGAAGGACGGAGAGACTAGTGCCAGTGTCCAGCCACGGGCCGTCCACTTTTTCCTCTATAGTCATGATTTGGCGGGGCTCCTTCTCCATGAAGGCGGTTCTACAGGATCTGAATACTGGGCACCCATGTAATGCATGAAGTCTCGGTGCTGGAGCTCCACTCGCCCCTCCACCGCAGCCTGCACGGTCAGGGGGAGAATGGCCTCCAGGGGGTTCTCCCCAGGTATTGCGCAAGGTGCTCCTGGTTTCCAGCTCCCGAATGGCTCTCGCATCCCCAGTCAGCTCGACCTCTCAGTCGTCTGGCGTGGGCACTCCCGTGCTCTCCGAGTCCTTGTTCAGCAGCTGCTCCTCCGCTGACTCCGGACCGTTCTGGCTCTCAAGGGCAGGGCCAAGAGTGACCCGCCGTGTGGCATGTTTTCCCAGGGGTTTCTCCAGGTCGGGATGGTTCACGCACGTCTCCGGGCGGGCCTGTTGGTGTCGGTGCTTCTTTGTGGCATGGCGGTTCTGCACCGCGTAGCGTCGGCCGGCGGGAGGGCCGTGCGCATCTCCGCGCTTCCCGGGCGCCTGCTGTCTGCCTTCCCGGGCACCAGCTGCGGGGCAGCCCGGGGCAGGGCGCCTGCGCGGTGGGGTCTGCGCCCGGGAACCGAACTCACTACCTTGCGCTTGCCAGGCAGGCGCTTTTGCCGCTGAGCTAAATCCCCAGCCCCTAAATTTTTTTTTTTTTTTTTGTGGTACTGGGGATCGAACTCACAACCTTGCGTTTGCCAGGCAGGCGCTTATGCCACTGAGCTAAATCCCCAACCCTTGCTCAAGTCTTTTATCAGCTGCTTTTT